ATGATTTACGTAGATTAACCCAGGTAGAACCTTTTCACCTAGGGGGATCCAGCTCATAGTTCCGGGTAGAAGTACTATTCGCTCAGGATGTTTTACGTAGCTTAACCCAGGTAGAACCTATTCTCCTAGGGGGATCCAACACATAGTTCCCAGTAGAAGTAGTCTTCGCTCAGGTTATTTTACGTAGCTTAACCCAGGAAGAACTATTTCGCCTAGGGGGATCCAGCTCATAGTTCCGGGTAGAAGTACTATTCGCTCAGGATGTTTTACGTAGCTTAACCCAGGAAGAACTATTTCGCCTAGGGGGATCCAGCTCATAGTTCCGGGTAGAAGTACTCTTCACTTAGGTTGTTTTACGTAGCTTAACTCAGGTAGAACAATTTCTCCTAGGGGGATCCAACTCATAGTTCCGAGTAGAAGTACTCTCCACTCAGGCTGTTTTACGTAGCTCAACTCAGGTAGAACTGTTTCGCCTAGGGGGATACAATTCATAGTTCCAGGTAGAAGTACTCTTCGCTCAAGTTGTTTTACGTAGCTTAACTCAGGTAGAACAATTTCTCCTAGGGGGATCCAGCTCATAGTTTCGAGTAGAAGTACTCTTCACTCAGACTGTTTTACATAGTTTAACCCAGGTAGAACCTTATCGCCTAAGGGATCCAGCTCATATTTCCGGGTAGAAGTACTTTTCGCCCAGTCTTGTTTTTCATAGGTTAACCCAAGTAGAACCTTTTCGCCTAGGAGAATCCAGCTCATAGTTCCGGGTAGAAATACTCTTCGTTCAGGATATTTTATGTAGCTTAACCCAGGTAGAACCTTTTCGTCTAAGGGGATCCAACTTATATTTCCGAGTAGAAGTACTCTCTATTCAGGCTTTCTTTTCATAGTTTAACCCAGGTAGAACCTTTTCGCCAAGGGATTCAGCATTTTATCAGTAATACAGGGCACCAACCCCTGGCTACATTTTATTTTCAGTAATACAGGGCACCAACCCCTGGTTACGTTCCTTTTCAGTAATACAGAGCGCCAACCCCTGGTTATATTTCCTTCTCAGTAATACAGGGCGTCAACCCCTGGTTACATTTCCTTCTCAGTAATACAGGGCGCAAACCCGTGGTTACATTTCCTTTTCAGTAATACGAGGCACCAACCCCTGGTTACATTTCCTTTTCGGTAATACAGGGCACCAACCCATGGTTACATTTTTTTTTCAGTAATACAGGGCGCCAGCCCCTGGCTACGTTCCTTTTCAGTAATACAGAGCGTCAACCCCTGGTTATATTTCCTTCTCAGTAATATAGGGCGTCAACCCCTGGTTATATTTTCTTCTCAGTAATACAGGGCGCCAACCCCTGGTTATATTTTCTTTTCGGTAATATAGGGCACCAACCCATGATTACATTTCTTTTTCAGTAATACAGGGCGCCAATCCCTGGCTACATTCCCTTTTCAATAATACAGGGCCCCAACCCCTGGCTACATTTCCTTTTCAGTTATACAGGGCACCAACCTCTGGTTACATTTTCCTTTTCAGTAATACAGGGCGCCAACCCCTGGTTACATTTCCTTTTCAGTAATACGGGGCGCCAGCCCTTGGTAACATTTCATTTCAGTAATACAGGGCGTCAACTACTGGTTACATTTCTTTTCAGTAATATATGGCGCCAACCCCTGGTTACATTTCATATCTGTAATATAGGGTATCACAGTCCCTAGTTGTGTTTTTCGACATAGGATCACCACTCCCTAGTCTTCTTACCAGTATAGGGTACACCAATCCCTATGTATTTTCCAATATAGGGTACACCACTCCTTAGTTGATTTGATCTTAAATGTAGGGTACACAAATCCCTGATATCATTGCCAATATAGGGTATACCATTCCTTGGCCACATTCTTCTAACATAAGGTACACCAATCATTAGTTGAGGTATCTTTTTGACAATAAAGGAACACCATCCAAAAAAAATCATCATGATCTTTTCAGGGTACACCATTCCCGATCCTTTATTGTTTTCAATAAAGAAGTAGTTTAGAATTTTGTTACAATAACTCACGAAATTTTTCTAATAAAAACTGGGGCAGAAAAATTTCGTCTGTTTGATTGTTTTGGTGTCTGAGCAGGTTTTACCTCGAGGCACAAGGTTCGAGATGACCAAAAGAAGGATTCTCAATCCAGAATAAAGAAAAGAAAAGGAAAAGAAGTGAATCCAAATGCATATACAGATGGAAAGGATATGGACTGCTCAAGACATGGCTGAAGTTACGAGCTTTACATTTCCCGTTTTGCTCAGAAAAAGCTGTAGAAGAATGAACTAGCACATGCAGCTAGCAAGCATCAAGGTTGAGATCAGAGTCTGCATGAACAACCATTCAACATTCAAGATCAAGTTTCAAAAGACTTATAGATAGGAATCTTGTAACTCATAGCTGATAGACTTGTTTAGTTTCTTTTGATTTTGATGTAATAGCAGGACCACGGACCGGAGCCTCGACGAAACCTCACTCGAATCTCCAACTCATCATTCCATCATTTTCTTTGAACTACACGTGACCTGATTCCCCTATAACCCGTGATATGTAGCCTGTCTAAACTAGGACTCGGTTGCACCCTCTATTTTATTTCTCTTCCCTTTTGAATAATGGTATGGCCAAAAATTAGTCATATCGCTCATCTTTTCTTTGCCTGAAAACTCTTCATGTTTTCAAGCAAAGAGGGGCATTCTGTGAGAACCTAATTTTTGACCATGCTAGAATTTTTCCACTCATCTCACCAATACCTCATTTCCTACTGCATCATTCCCGCTTCCATTTTTTCCATGCGTGTTCCCACTCTTTGTCCCCTTCTCATGTCCCCTACTCACAAACCCCATACCCTATTTCAGCCATTAAAACACACACAAAAAGGAGGAGAAAATGGGAGATTTGAAAATACACTAGATAGAGAGAGACGGAAGATAGCAATAAAGGAAAATCCTTGGGACTACTTCTTCTCCCCCCAGCCAGCCTCCTCCATGAAACTTAACCCAAAAACCCCATTAAAAAGCTCAACCAAATAGTACCAAGTTTTAGCCATGAAACTCACCAAAAATACCATGAATAACACCATCTAAACTTCATAAAAACCAGTTGAAAATCACCTTTAAATAAGCCCCCCAAAAGCAATGAAAATCAGTCCCAAACCCACCTGAAAAACCTCACAAAATCAGCTCTAAAAGCCAAAAAAAAATGCAGCTCTAAAGCCACCATAGTTGCTGCCCAAAAACGGCCATTAAACCCGCCTAAAACAACCCCAAACCAGCCCCAAAAATCAGCCAAACTCGGCAAAACCAGCCGCGAAATAGCTCTCCTCAAACCCGCAAAATTAGTTACGAAAATCATAGTTTTCACCACTCTTTAACCCCCAAAACAGCATCCCAAATTGCTGCTTATTCCACCGTGAAATAGTACCAAAATTTCAGTCGAGTTTGAGGCCGCCGACGAGGTCGTAGTTCGTTAGCTCCGGTCGAGTCTATCTGAAGTTCATGTATATTGGAGAATTTGTGTTCATCTATAAAGATTGGGCTCGAAGGCTTGTTGTTTTGTCGTTGCAAAGATTTGAATTCATTAGAGGTTCACTCTTCCCTTTCTTTACTATTTTCACTCCTAATATCATACTTTTCGTTGGGTTTTCTTTGATTTTTTGTCGCTTTGTCTTATTAGTTGTTTGAATTAGCGTGTCGTTGATTTTGTTCTGTTTTGCGGAAAGTTCAATTCAATGTTTTTGTTTTATTCCATTTTTGTGATTGTTTAGGTTACATTTGTATAGGTGTAGAAGATTAGCGTGGCTTGGTGAAAGAAATAATTAGTGTTAACGGGTCATGTCGTGGCGTTAGGTAAGAAAATTAGAAATGGGCCACGACATTTAATAAAACGAAAATAATTAGACATGGGCTGAATTGAGTATAAATCTGTCAGGCCTAATAATTTTAGTCATAGTTTAATACTTAGCCCATTATTCCATAAGAGGTAAATGTCTCATAATTTCAAAGATAGAGTAGTAATTGGTAAACATCTCTAAATGTTGATAATTTGTCAATACTTTAAATAGTTAAGATATTTCTTAACTTCCAAATAATTCCTTCCATAATTCTCATGCCCTACGATAATCTCAAAGCTAGTTTAGAAAAAAAAAAAATTGTTAATAATCGCTAGTATGCTTTAGGCGCGTATTAATAAATAAATTATCGTAATTATGTACACGTTCCGGTGACATAGATATGATCCCACAAATAAATCAAGGTACGCGTTCGCGCGACTTTGGCCACACAATCTTAATAAATAATAAAATGTTATTAATTGTGTACACGTACGCGTGACATGATTTTTGCAAAATAAACAAAACGGATTCACACACGTGATTCGTTTCAAAGATAATTTCATATGTTAATAGTAAAAGCGGACATAGATAAAACATGAAAACCAATAAATCACAGTTTGTCCAAAATTAATTCAAGCCGATTTTAGTCAATAAAAGTGACCGTGCTAGATTCACGAAACTCAGGGAATGCCTTACACCTTATCCTCGGTCAACAGAATTCCTTATCGAGACTTTGTTTTCGCAGACCAACATGAAAAGAGTCAATCTTCCTTTGAATAGGGATTCAAACATAAGGTGATTTGGACCACCCAAAAACTCAATTCCAAGTGGCGACTCTGTAAATAAATAATCTCTATTCAAATTTATCACTTTAATTGAAAAAATTCTTTAACCCACAACAATCTAAGCTCATATCATTTTGGGGTAAGAGGGTGTGACAACATTAAAAGTGCAATAGATCATGTGCTAAATTTTGTAAAATTGTAACTCACCAAATTTAAATTTTTTGATCGGTCTCTATTTTTTCCCAATGTTAATATCTCAATGAGCGACCATAAATAATACTTAGGAATATATAATTCAATAATTAGACGTAGTCCAAAAATGATCAACTTGACAGTTGTAAGTGAAAACATGCAAACAATCAATAAAACGGGAACCTGAATCTACATTTTACATATTTATCCTTAAATAATAGTACTCCACTACTCAGATCTGATATTAGATTATCTAATTTGCTCTCCAGATTCTGGAGGTTTAGGAGGCAAGACATCCGGAGCGTGTGGTGGAAACGCTTCCGGCAGTCCAGGTGGCGAAGTCGGTGGCCGTGGTGCTTCTTGGCTAGGCGGCGAGGTGTTCGGCGGTTCAGAAAATTCTGGACTGTCAATTCGTGGTGCAGTTGGCGACGGCGATGGCGTTGGGGGGTCTTCACCTGCAGAGACAGGCGTAGTGTTAATGTTATTGGTTCATATGTTAACTGAGGGTTAATTTCACCGAAGGTCATTTAACTACCTCTCGATTTCATAAAAGTTACTCAACTATTTTTTATTACTTAAAAGTAACTAAAGTTTACCATTGTCACTTAAAAGTCACCTTGGCTCAAACCCTTACCTATAAATTTGACATAGCATAAAATTTAATGAGAAAAATGCAAAAATAAATGTCACATCTAGAACTGTCAAAACGGGATAGCCCAGCCCAAGCCTCGTCGGCTTTTCAATTTGGTGGGTTAGCCCGGGCCGGGCCGCCATATAAATGGGTCTTAAAATGGCCAAGCCAACCCAGCCCTAAGAGAGCCGCAGGCTAGGACGGGCCGGCCCTTTAATTTTTTGTAGAAAAAAGAATTTCTTTAAATCTTTAAATATTTTTTCGTGACATAGTCGATTAATCATGTAAACAACTTCTGTTTGATTAGAGCGTACAAAAATCTTGATATTTGACGAGGAATCTCGTAACTAAAATGCAAATTTTCTATATCTCTAGCTCTCTTTTTTAAAATTACATGAATATTTTCTTAATACTTTTCTTTCATTTTCCTCCGATTCAGGGATTGCTTCAATAAATTTATATGCTGAGGTTTCTTAATTTAGGATTAACATCATTTGCTGATTTTATCATTATAGTCCATAAAATTTTTAAAATTCCTGAAATTTGCTAGTGGTCAATTTTTCTTTTTGTATTTAAAATTGATCTTTTTCTATACTGAAAAGCGATTTAAATATTAATAATATATTAAAGTAATCCAAACTAATCATTGACCACTTGAAGTAATATTTTCTTTTGAAAAAAGATTATTATTGGCCACCTAAAACTTTTCGAGTTCGTTATTAGTTAAGCAAAAGAAAAATTAATGTTGTCATATTATATGCATGTCAAAAATCTAAATTATAGTTGATATGAAAGGGTAAATGAGCAATCTAGGGTTGAGGAATGGGGATTATAGTTAATGATTTTTTTAGTTTTTAGTTTTTTAAAATATTAAATATTTAATAGTTAACAAATTTGAATTAATTAATTTTTGGCCCACGGGCCGGCCCAGGCCCAACCTCGATCAAGCCTCAGGGCCAATGGGTTGTCTTGGTCCGGGCTTATAAGCCTCAGTTTTAAATGGGCTCAAAAAATTCTGGTCCAACCCTCCCCAAATAGCGGGCTGGGTTGGGCTGGCCTCATAGGCCAAGCCCATTTTGACGGCTCTAGTCACATCAGCTTAAATGAACTATAGCCACTTTAGATACATTTTGTAAATTCGATTTAACCCGTAATTCAAATGGGTTTCACTAAAAAAATATTAAACGCCATATTAGCTTAGAATAATTATTCTATACCACAAAATTCTAGTCCTGTTTGTTACAAAATGGTCATTCGTAATTATTTTATAATAAAATATTTAATGCTAAAAAATTCTTGCCTTGTTAGTTACATAATACCCCATTCGGACCGTTTTATAATTTTCTGCTAAAATTAAAATATTATTGTATTCATCTTTACACAACATATAAATATAGCATGAGCCGACAAGAATAATAAGGTTAATAAGAACCTATTTTTACAAACTACTATTTCATTAATTTTAAAATGCGCTTATTAAGCAATACCAACAGACAGAAAAGACCTATTTAGTAGGCATCACATACAATTAAAGTGCATAATGAAATTTGTCAATACATGCAATTACAAAGAGCCTATAGCAATAGTTTATACAAAAGAAAGACACACATGATAGTGTCGTTAAGACTATGGGTGTGTTTGGTATGAAGGAAAACATTTTTCGAAAAATATTTTTCAATTTTTTCATGTTTGGTTGGATTAAATATTTTGAAAAATATTTTTCTCATAAATTTATTTTCCTCCAGTTGGAGGAAAATATTTTNACCCTCGCCCCACCCCGACCCCGACCCTTCACCCTAAATAGAAATATTATTAAGAGTACTTTCTTTTCATATTATAAATAGAGTACATTTTTTTTCATTTCAATAGATGAGTATATTTTTGGGGGAGAATTACATAATAATACACTCCACAAGTTAACCTTGCAACCGGATGACCCAGATCTAAGTTTACAAATATGTAGCCCAATATTAATATTAGTTGGCTCAGATCCGAAAACAACCTTCATGCCCTTTTTTATTCTAAGGCAATTTTTTAATGATTTTTCGTTCTCTTTCTTACCCAAGGTTATATATTCCTATTCCAACTATAAAAATACAAACAGGCCTAAAATCTCTTATTCTCCAAGTTCTATATAGATGAACTTGCTCCAAAGTTTTTGATTTGGCAGAAAAATCAACTAGGAAAGAAAAATTTAAAAGTTCATGATTTAGCAGAGAAATCAACGAAAAAATTAACTTTATACATAAATTGTTCGAAAAAAATAAGAAAAATACAAAAAATTTATTTTCAATTTTAACTGCATCTGTACAGTACGTGTATAATGATGTATAACTTTGTATAAACTTGTATATGAAATATTGAATAATGCATACCAATATTTCGTTGGCATAGAAAAGCAAAATTAGTGTTAATCGAAAACATAGAGAATAAAAGCAAAAAGAAAAATCTAAACAAAAAGTAACCAAAACAAAAGCAAAACGGAACTGCGGCAAAACAAAAATAAAAAAACATGCAACAAAACTAAAATTACTACAGTGAAAGAGAAACTTACTTGAAAAAAAATCAATGTTGTATAACAGTATTTTCACACCCAATATACAATATTATACAACGTTATACCAATATAATAGTATTGTATAATGATGTATAATAGTGTATACAAAACTGGATTTCATCTTCAACTAGTGTGGTTCCCAAAACCAACGTTAATCAAACACAATTAACCCAACACTCAAGATTCATATTATTACAAGCTTTTACAATAATTTTTAACTTAATCCAATCACTTTAGAGTGGTTGACGCTGGTAGGTGCATATTTTAATAGGAGAAAGAGGGAAACAATGATTTTCTTAATATTAAGATCCATTGAGTTAGGGTTAAAATCGGGTCCAGGAGAAATGGGTATGAAGTGGGTATGACCTATTTCAGCTGATGTGGCATTTATTATTAAATTTTTTTAATTAAAATTTATGTCATGTCAGATTTATGGTAAGGTTTGAGCCAAAATGACTGTTAAGTGACAATTGTAAACTTGAGTTACTTTTGAGTGACAAAAAATAGTTAAGCGTCTTGCTGAAATTAAGAGATAATTAGATGACCTACGATGAAATTAACCCTATTAACTCATATTTATCAGAATCATGATTTGAATACTAGGAGTTCTAAATTCTAAGATCGCTAGGATCCAGTGACGGAGCCAAACTTTTCACCAAAAGTGTCAAAATATAAAAAAAAATAAAAATAGATACACCAAAAAGTTTAGTAAATATACTTTAACACAGAAAAATTTATCTAGCAATACAATGTAATTTTCCGGCGAACTTGGTTGAAAGTGACGGATTCCGCCACTGCTAGGATTGCAAATCTAGGATTGCAAAGCGTTGAAATTGAGTTTTGGATTTAATTTTTACACGTATATTTTAATAAATTTGTTAATATAAATCAGAGGTGGAGCTAAAATTTATAGTTTATGATTTTTGGACCATAATTCTTTTTACTTAGTGGATTCTATATAAATAGACCAAGTCTATTATATATATTCAATTAATTTTTTAATAAAAATACATAATTTAAGTCAAAGCTACTGAATTCTGCCGAACTCATCGCTATAAAATTAAGTCCGCCCCAAATACAAATATAGAGGTTAAACTATACTTATTGAATTTAGGTAACCTTCTAGCCGTCTTGCGTATATATGTGAAAACATTCACTAGAAAAAAAAAATCTTTAAAAAAAGCCGAACTTAAACAGTTAAAGTTTAAATCAACATCTAATTATCACCTGGTCTTATGGGTGGAATAGCATCAAAATCTGGTACAAAAGGTGAATCCGCCACCGCCGGTGGCGGATCGGTGGTTGTGGTGATTGGTGGCGTTGTGGTAGTAGGAAAATCAGATGGAAGTTTTTCATGTTGGCCAGGCATATTTTGATTCTTTGGCTCTGCCTTCTGGCTCATTTGTCTAAGCCCGAGTAGTGAATTATTCGAAATTTGAAGTAGGGATAATGAAGATTTTGTGTTGGCTATAAGAATGATTCTTTTTATTAAGGAGTACTTGGGCCAAGTTGAAACTCTCAGCATTTTAATAATTTATTCTAATGTGTTTGAGGAGATTGATATATAAGATTTTTTGTATAATAGATATATAAGAAAGTATATTGGATAGTCAAGTGAGAATTGCTTAGAGATACCTTGTATAACTCAGTGTTATTCAGAAGACACGTGGAGGTCATGCAACTCTGACATCCGTCCTTCCCAATCGATTGTTGAATGTTCTCGGATCGAGCCTCAAGGCCCGACGGGCTAACTTAGATCTGGCCCTCACTTTTAAATGGGCTAAAGAAATCTAGGTCCAATCCTACTTAAGTAACGGGCTTGATTAGGCTAACCTCATGGGTCAATCATATTTTGACGGCTTCGTATACAATTAGTTTTAAGGTTTCACGTATTGATTTTGATGATAACAAACCAACATATTTATTAATCAAAGAACACTTACTTGTGATAAACTTATTTTCGTACAGGTTTGTTCAAAGAAGAGGATGTTGGCAAGGATCCAAAGAAATATGAGAAAGAGTATATCATGTGATGAATTTATGAGCGAAAATATTATCAAAAGAAGAATCTACGAAAATTATGGAAGAAAGTTTTTCAATATCTTAAAAGGAAAGTTGCTAAAATCATGGAGAAGATCTATTATTTTGTGGAAGGAAGATATTACATGGAAGAGATACTACAAGATCAAGGAAGAAAGAAAATATATTATGAGTATATTATAATCTATATTATGGAAAGAGATTATTTTTCAAGATCAAGAAAGGAGAGAAAGATATATTGAGATCTATCAAAAGAAAATTATTCCCATAATTGTGAAAATAGTAAATGGTTATTCAGATCTTCATATTAGAGACAAAAATCTAAGATTCAAAGTCAAAAGAAGAGGATCTTGAATTTCTATTGAGTTATCTAAATGAGAGCTAAAGTTTGTGCAACCAGAAACTTGCCATAAGAAGAAGAACTTGGAGTTATTTTCGGAATACTCTATCAAGCAAATGATGTCTATATTCAATGATAGATCAGGAAGTGTCAGAGATATTTTGGACAAACAATGAAGATGCATTCAGCAAGAATAAATCTTGATTGATACTTTTCCAAAGAATGAAAGATTCAAATCTTAGAGGAGATTGGTACTACAATGAAAAAGGAATGAATATAAATGAAATTAAAGGAAGTACCAAGAATATAAAGGCAATAATAATATGCCTTATAGAAGTCATGTGCATATTTACATATGAAAACTTGATGGCTTACGTGGAAAGAATCTTTTATACAAAAGGCATTAAATAGTATGGCCTTGATTTTTGGAATTGTAAAGAAAAAGATCTCAAATCTATGTGAGATCAAATCTGTACAAAATGGTTTGTAGTATGTAAAGATTTCTTTAATAGATATCTATTTGTACTCAAAGGAAAGAGTAGTTACTCTTCAATATCAGACTTTTAATCGAGACAAGGATCGAGATCATGTTCAAAAGAGCAAGAAGCAGTAACGGAAAGTTGGAGCAGCAGCAAAGGAAATCCTTTTCCAAAATTAGAAGATCGTTGCAACAGCTAGAATATTCAACGACCAAGTATAAAAGAGAAGACACTTGCAACATCAAACTTACACAATCTTCTATACAATTGTCTATCAAACTACAAGTTCTTTATTCTACACGGACATTGTAATTCACTTTTAGTAGAATTATTGTATACACAAGAAAGTGAAGAGAGACAGAAAAATATTGGAGAGTGAGTGTTTCCTTAGAGGTTGTGTCATTATTCGTTTCTTTGGTGAGTAAGTGAATACCAAAGTATTGTCGTTGGTGAGTAAGTAAAAACCAACCTTTTGCGTTGTTAGTGAGCGTGTTAAAACCAACCCTTATTTGTTGCTGGTGAGCGAGTGAAAACCACTTGTAAACGTTGATGGTGAACGTTAAAAATCACACAAACTGTACTCAACTCATATTACAAAGAGATCAAGAGATAACATCCTTGCAAACCAAGGAGACTGGAGTAGGATACCACATTGGTTCCGAACCAATATAAAATTTATGGTGTCATTTACCTTACTGCTTTCATATTTTATTATAAGAAATTACTGTTTGTTGAGATTGGTATTTGATTGAATCGAGGTACTAACAGTCTTGTGCAGGTTGTCTCCGTATTAATCGACTACGTTTGAGGAGTAGTCGACTAGAAATTTACAAGGTTACAATTCATCCCCTCTTGTACTTTCACAGGAGCCGTATACGTGAATTATTTTCACAATTTAAGATTATAATAGTGTAAAATCATTTACATTATTGGTGTGTATGATTAACTTAAATGCTTAAGTAAAAGGTTTGAGCTTTGAGCACAAAAATAAAGAATTTCTTGTTAAAATTTGTCACACCTCCTTCTTCGAAGATAAAGAGGTATTCCAATTAAAGTGACATTATTTGAAATTAGATTATTTTATTTTATTTTATTTTTTAGAGTCGCAACTCGAAATTATTTAATTAACGATGTTCGAGTCACCAAATTTAGAATCCCAATGCAAGAAAGTTTGACTCTATTTATGGTCTGCAAACACAGAAGATTGGGTAAGAAATTTTTTTAAACCGGAAGAAGGTGTGAGAACTCTCGAATTTCGTAGTTTTAGCACGGTCACTTAATAAATTATACTCGGCTTAATTGTCTAATTATTATAAATTTAAAACCTATTGTGCATTTTACCTTTCATCGCTTTTAATTATTTTAAATAATTATGAAACTTATTTAAACAAGTGACGATGTCGCGCACTTATTATTTTTGTACACATTACAAATCACGTCACGTACCCACAATTTATAATATGCTTGATTTATATTATTATTCTGAAGTTGGGGGTCAAGTCATGCTGACGAGCACTTGAATTGGGTTACGTATCAGGACTATGCTACATGAACTGTAATCATAGTCACGATGATTTATTAATCGCGTCTAAAATAAATTAGGGATTGCAGCGGCGACGGGTTTCGACAACCTTTCATCGAGCATCATGGAATTTCGGCGGTCAAAAAGTGTTAATATATGAGCACTGACCACAATTCTTCCATACGGCCGGTGCTACACACAATAATACTAATTGGGCCAATGGAATAGGGAAAGGAGAAGTACAAGAGCATTCTGACAGGCCAACGGTCGTTTGGCCGGAATCCGGCCACTGGAATTGAAGTGCACTAATGACCCCAAACGAAAGGTCTCTCGAATACCTATCATTTGATGTAAGAGTTAGGTAAAAAGGAGGCGGGGTTGATGGTAATTAAAAAAAAGGGCGAAAAAGGTTGAATCTTTATTTTCAAATCTTCAAATTGACAAAATTGAAAGGTCTTTTGGGGAAAATTAAGGGTAGATTGGGAATGAGGATGAAAGAGTGATCATAGGGTGGTGTTTTGGCACCATTTGGAGGTGGTGCGTCGCCGAAGGGCGATTTTCGAATGACGGAAGACGGTGGAGTGAGGCGGCTGTCTTGAGAAAATAGGGGAATTGGGCGCGACTAGGGTTTGAGTGTAAAGGGGGAGGGGGGAAATTAGAGTTATGAGAATGAGGAGGGGTTTTGCTCGTTTAAGGGAATTGGGAAGGGAAAACGATATAGTATTGGGGTAATACTACGTCGTTTGATGGTCTCAGAGGTCAAAGGTTTTGGACCGGGTCAGGGCGAATTTGGACGGGTTTGGGCAGGTTGAAAGGGAACTGGGCCGACATAATTGGCCCAATTTTGACTTAGAGAGTTGGCTGGCCCTTCCCTTCTTTTTCTCTTCAGCTATTTGATTAGTTGTTTTCAAATTGTAGCCACTTAACCATTAATCCAAATCAATCTATTTTTTGCAAAATTAACCTATGAACTATTTTATCTAATAATTAACTAATTATTTTACTAACAGTGACTAATGTACTTTTGGTATTTTAGTATTTTATAAATGCAATTAACATGTAATTATATGTAAAATGTGAAGAGTAAAATATAAAATATTTATTCGTTATTTTCATGATTTGCAATGCTACTAAATATACTAAAAATGCAAATAAATACCAAACAAATAAAAATAAAATAAAGTAAGTTCCTAAAATTGCATAAAGGCAATTAACACTATTTTAGAGTATTTGTTAGGAATAAATTAGACACGGACAAAAATTACGTGCTCACAAAATCAGTTTACTATCTTAATAAATTTATTGGGCACGAATTTAATATAATCGGATCAATAAAATTCGTATATTGAATATCTAAAGTATCAAAAGGAAAATATATTATGTTTCTCACAAGCCTGAATTCCTTGTTATCACCCGCCGTCTTAGTGGCAACTAGCAAATGAAGTGCGTACAAGTAAAATCGAAATCAATACTTTGTATACGAAGTTTAGTTGTATAGGCGAAAATTCGTTTAGATATTGAATGAAATTTATTTTTATATATTATTTTTAACTATGACATGTTTTAAATCATAAACTCCGAGAAAATTCTTTCCTGCATATCCGTGGATTTAATTGTTTTCATCATTTTGCTTTTTAATTTTTTTTTATTACAGTAATTAATTTTTTGGTGTTTCAACATGATCTCTCCTGTACGTTAATTGTAATGCATTTTCGAGTGATTTCTTATATATATAAAAAAGTAAAGAAGAATCTATACAAAAATCTAAAGGATCTTGAAGTTAAAGTGTAAAAATTCCCAATGAAACAAATACTATACTTGCCAAACGAACATAAAAACGTCTTCATCATCAGCCTTCACTAACATTAAAATCTTTCACCTGCCCTAAAAACAACAGGCCCAAAAGTGATAATGGGCGGCGGAATATCCGTCGGGTACGGCGACCCAGGTTCCGGCAGCTTTGGAGGTATAACATCCGGTCCACCGGGCGGAACAATCTCCGGGATGGCCGGAGGTATAACATCCGGCCCACCCGGAGGAACAATCTCCGGAATAGCCGGAGGTATAACGTCTGGGCCACCCGGCGGAGAAATTTCCGGTGGTAGCCCAGGCATGTCTGGCCCTGGTGGATCATGACCAGGTGGTAATGGATTCGGAGGGCCTGGAAAACCAGGGCCCGGGCTCGGAGGTGGATTTTCCGGTGGGATTGGATCAAATTCTGGAACAGCAGGAGGCACAGTAGTAGCTTGCTGTATTGATCCGTAGCCTCTGATCATATGAGCTGAAATGGAAATGAGATTTGGGCTGTAATTGTGTTGCTTCTTGTTTATTCTCAAAGTCTTGACTATTAATGGAGCTGTATACGTTGAGTGGTAAAGTGCGATTGTCTTCTTCAGAAGACTGTGTGAAATGGCCATTATAGTAGACATTTCTTCTCCTATTAAGTAGTAGTAGTAGTAGTATTTTTCTTGTTTTGTTTAAGCGGGGAGAAGAGAGAAAATTAACGGACAAAGCGTTTCCGGATGTAGTTTGGTTTTTGGTATATCACTTTATTTAGCTATACTTTGTATAAATATTTTGAAAAGGAGAGCTAGAATTTTAACTTTAACATTTTGGATTTTAGAATAATAATATATATTTTTTACTTATAAATTCCTTCACAAATTAGGAGTATCTATAATTTTTCGCAATTCTCCTTCAGCGTGACTCGAACCCAAAATTTAATGATCAAATATTTTTAGAATCAGAGTCAGAATTTTAACTTTATAATTTTGGATTTTAGAACAATAATATTTTATTTTTTATAAATTCTCTTCCAAATTAGGAGGATCTACAGTGTTTTTACAATTCTCCTCCAGCGTGACTCGAACCCAGGACCTAATGATCGTGGGTGGAGATATTTTACCAACTAAGCAACCCTTACTTGTCTAAAAACTTTAAGCGCCTATAGTTGAGTTCTGAATTTGATATTTATTATATATATATAATGAATTTATCAATATGAAATCAGAGACAGAGCCATGACTTTAAGATTATGGGTTTGAAATTCTAATCGTTTAGATTATTTAATTTTAAATTAATAATTTATATTATATATTTAATAAATTTTTTTAATTAAAGTAAAAAATATATTTTTGCATGAAGGATTATCAAGGGAAGATGACACTTGTGCATGGGGAAGATACTTGAAGCCATGTAGCAACAGCCATTACAATCCACCGCTTTGTCGAACACGTTGTCATAACTCGAACCTCTTCTTTCCTTTTTTTTATTTTTTTTTTTTATTTTTTTATTTTTTATTTTTTGCTTTTCAAATTATTTTTGCAAGTTCAGTTAATTTTTAGACGTAAATTATATTTCGTGTCGAAATTTTTTAGTAGTTCAATTGAAATCATTACAATTTTTCATCGTTTATTACGTAGTTCGCTAAATGCTCAAATACGGAAAGGTGTTCAACAAATCAAAGTTATTGAAGCACACAAATCGAAATCCAAGAAGAAATTGAACGTTATTGAATTTATTTATAAATCTTTTCTCATGGCTCTCACTAAATTTGACAGTCCAAGTTTATTAAATATGTAAAGAAATAGAAATTATTCACTTTTAAAAATTTAAAGAATCAAAACTGTTTAATAATATACTTAAAGGACTATTACAAATTTAACATCTATTGCACTGGCAACTGACACAAGGAATTCAAATAAACAAGAATAAAATGAGAATCGGAAGGCTAAGATAAGAAAAACGATCCCCTTGTACAGAAAATCTCATTTCTCAAGTTAAAAGAGATCATATAGCAACCGTCATTTACAAATAAGACACTCCATCTACATAGGCAAAATGGACATTTAGTAAAGTCTTAAAACAGCAATGTAACGTAAAATCTTATGTATATCATTGCTAAGAAGACACTCGATCTACATAGGGAAAATAGTTCCCCTGCTTCGGGATTGCTATACAAATAGCTTTTCAGATTTACTGTTTACTTTTTTTTAGTCGATATACATAAATTATACATAGTTGTACACATGTTATACATGAATTATACATATATTATACATTCGCCGGCTATTTTTAGTTGAAGAGAATAGATGAGCGGCAATTTGAGTTAATTCTTCATTTTGGGCCAGCTCTATTTCCAGTTGATATAAACATTGCTGTAGTTCTCACTGCCCAAACAAAAGCTAGAAATTTAAAGTAAGAATCTTTAAATATTGTATTCCTTTATCCTTGAAGCAGTAAGTCAGTCATCACAGTTATAAGAAAGGCTCAGATGTACCAAATCCAGTAGGTCTTCAAGGAAATGCAATATGACAGTATCAAATACATGACATAAAAACTTACATCAAGGGCATGGAGTTTGATATTAATCTCGTGAAAACATAAAAAACACATATTCCTTCGTCTAACGACGTCTAGGTTGGTGCTTTACCAGGAACTCGCTGTGCAATCCACCCTAAACCATCGTATAAACCGTCACCAGTCAAGGCACTGCAGGCTTGAATATGCCAATCATGGTTCTTGATGCTATGAAGGGAAAGCGCATCGGTTATCTCTGCAGGGGTCATGGCATCTTTAAGGTCCTGTTTGTTCGCAAAGACTAGTAGAACCGCACTTTGCAGATCCTCGTGTGGGAGCAACCTGAACAACTCGTCCTTCATAATGGAAATCCTGGCTCTGTCAGTGCTATCAATAACTGCAATGACAGCATGAGTTCCGCGATAGTAAGTTGCCCATGATGTCCTCAGTCTTTCTTGCCCACCAAGATCCCAGACCTGAAAAAAGAAATAAAGAAGTAAGATAAACAGTAGGTCATAATACACAGACCTGTTCTCATCCATTTTTCCAGATATAAAAGAAGGCAAAACAACATGGAAATTAACCTGCAGTCTTTTGTCAATACACTCGGCCAATGGAGAAAACACAAGGAAAAAGTAGAAGGATACTAGTAAATTTTACTATGAGCACATATCACTTATCAGAGAAGAAATAAGCAGATAATGCCAATGATGGTTTCAAGCATTCTTGTGCTAGTTGACAGGGAAAAGAAAAAACAATCAAGGAGAAGAGCTCGGATGTATCATAAACTTTTTCATTCCACCGCCAAGATTCTTGAGGACGAGGTCCTACACCTTTACAACATACCTAACACTTCACTTCCTACTCTTTTTATGTAATCCAGTGTTTTGGAGAGCGAGAAGCGGAAAAAAACGGCGAGGCCTCGCTTCACCGAAGCGAGAAGCGAAGCGCGTGCATTTTTTATGTGAAGCACAATTTAATACATAAATAAAAAATATTAAAAAGGCATAGATAATGACCAAAAAGACATTGAAATATTTAATACCCAGTGTTTTGGCTTGGTGCCATTGAATAAAAAGACATAATTTACTACAATCACCAAAAAAACAAAAAAAAAAACAGGGAAAACAGAGAAAAAATTGCAGAACAGTCAACAGAGATTAAAAGAAAACAGAGCAGAACAGAGAAAAAAGAAGAGCAGAAGAAAATAATTGTTGGAAGTCGAAGAACTGAAAAAAATAGAAAATAAGAAGAGAAAAAAGAGAAGTAGAGAAAAGAGAACAGGAGTCAAGAGGAAGCAGGTAAGCAGAGTAAAGAAGAAGAGGAAGAGAAGAGAAGAAAGAGAAGAAGAGAAGAGAAGAAGAGAAGAGAAACTTACCTTGGAAGAAGTCGCAACAGTTAAGAGAAGAGGAAGAGATGGTGCAAGGCTAGCAGCAGTCCACTCGAAGCAGATGTTTTGGAAGAGAAGTCGCGTAAGAGTGTATTTGAAATTTTTTAAAATAAAACCCTAGGCAGCCGTCCTTGCTTAAGCGAGCTTTTCTCGCTCGCCTCGCTTCTCCCTTCTCGCTTCTGGGCCTGAAGTGTGCGCTTTTTAACCTATGCCTCGCTTTAGGGCAGAAAAGCGCAAGGGTTGCGCCTCGCCCTTCTCGCTTAAAGCGGAGAAGCGCTCGCTTATAATAACACTGATGTAACCTAACGTTTCCTTCAATAGGATGTTCCCGTCCCCCTCAATTTCCCATGCTCCCTCCTCCCCTAGTTTTTCTTGAAACATTTTCTTTTCTAACGAGTGTGTTTTCACAATGTTAGTTAGATGCTTCAATTTGTTACTAAAAGAATTCCCTGGCTTCAAGAGGAAGAAAGTGTTTGCTTAAAAAACTCACCCCAGAACAATTCTCTCTCATCATTGTCCACTGATGGCCAAGATACCGTCAATCATAAGAGTTCCTAGCCAAGTCCACAACAAAAGGAAAAATACTCCTTATAGCGCACAATAACTAGAGCAAGACTTCAAAATACTCAATGTAACAAACCCATGTGCACTAGATATAAACCTACCTCAAGTGTCAGCTAGAAGCAAAAGCATGTCATGCATCCTGAAATCAATCAGAGACTTTGTGCTTCAAGTAAACAAATATCCTCTGTTATTCTGGTTATTAAGAGGTTCAATAGAAGTATATTCTTGGCTCTAGCATCGCTAGATCTGAGCAAAATAACAATTTTATTCAATGGTGGGGGTGCAACACAGTATATTTTATTAAAATTCAATGGTACTGGCCCAATGTGAAACCTATTTAGTGACCTTCAAAGGGTGCCAGAGATGCTCAAGTTAATAGCTGATAAGGTTGATACATACACATGTAACTAAGAATATCTTCGCTACTCCTCCTTTAATTATACTTATCAAGTCAGCATAAGATACTCAATTAGGCACAAGAAGTAATTTGGTCATGAAAAAAGTTAGTAGGTTTTGGGCTGTAGACAGTTTTATTTTCACATTTTTTAAGAGTCAACAGAACTATTTCATGGAGTTATAAATTCCAGTACGTCATGTCAAAAAGCTAACCATACCTAGTCTTACAAAGAAAACTATAATTAAAACACTCTGCACATGGCTGGAAAAAATTGGAGCTATAATTGGTACCACAATAACCCACTGCAATTGAGAATCTTATCGTGTAAAACCACACTGTAGAGGTGTCCATTTGTTTAAGGAGAACACCATTGTGAGGGAAAAGAACAACTAAGATGATTACGCAAGTCTTCATCATGAATATAAAATTGCACCTTAGACGTCCATCTGTTTATTTCATATACTGTACCGGACAGCAAAATGATTGAATAGCAAGACATGAGACTAGAAGGACCACCTATCACAGAAAATTCAATTACCCAATCTAAGAGTTTTCATACAGACAGTTCCTTAAACTCATCCGATCACTGATATAACTGACGTCACAATATTCTACTCTATGCAGATTGACACCGGTCCATTTTGGATGTTAACTGTTGTGCCATTACACGATTACGTACAGGTTATAATATATCGTGTGGAACATGTTTGCAAGTGAACGGGTGATGCCACAAATATGCCTGCTAGAATAAAAAATGAGAAGGAGGAGGTAGATGGAGAGCATGAGAAGTTACAGATGAAGAAAAATAGAGGAGTATTTATGGTGCGTTTGGCATGACCAAAATCATTTTCAGGAGGAAGTCATTTTTTGGTATTTAGACCATCACGAGGGGGAAAAGATTTCCAACACTTATAACTATTCATTATTTAAAATTTTAACTTCATATTAATTGCTCCAAGTAGCACGTATCTACTATTATTAATATTTCATACTCAAAATTTCTCAAAATATTTTTCATCAAAACACTCTCATTTGCTAATATTATTATTAGCATTGCCTTTGTGTTGATGATATATATATTTTTGCCGAAAATTATTTCCTACTCACCAACCAAAACTAGAAAACATTTTCCATGGAAAATTACTTCCAGCATATCAGACACTTTAAAGGAGTTGAAAGCACTTATGTACTTATAGGTAGAACTTTTCTATTTTGTACCTTTTTTTTATAAGGTAAATTGTATTAATCAAAAGGGAGAGAACTCCCGTGTACACAAAGTATACCAAAGACGTAGAGAATTTACATCAGAACATGATTCTCTACAAAAGACGCCCAATCTTCTATACAAGTAGGGGCTAAGTGAGTGCACCAAAAAGCGATCAAAGATAAAAGGCTATTCTTAAGATGTGAAAAAGGAGACTCAATCTCCTCAAAAGCTCTCCTATTTCTCTCCCCCCATACTACCCACATGAGAGCTAACGGAGCGAATTTCCACGCCTTTTGCTTTCTTCTTCTACGAAAACCGCCCCAGCTATATAACATTTCCTTTACAGTGCTTGGCATCACCCATTGAACACCAAAGAGATTCAGGATTGCCCTCCACAAAGCTGAGGACACAGGGCAATGCAACATAAGGTGATCAACTTCTTCTCCTGAGCTTTTACACATGTAGCACCAACTAACAAGTGTAATTCCCCTCTTTCGGAGATTTTCAGCAGTCAAGATCACTCCCCTTGCCGCTAGCCATGCAAAAAAGCACACCTTCGTGGGCGCCCTAGGAATCCAGATCGAGGAGTATGGAAAAGTGGTCTCCTCTCTCACCAACATACTCTGGTAAAAGGACTTTACGGTGAACAAACCATCGCCACGCAAGCCCCATCTCCAAGAGTCGCAGGATGGCTGGAGCATGTCTTGCCCGTATAGCAGTGCCAACAAAACTTGAAGCTCCGCAATCTCCCAATCTTGCATGTTCCTCCTGAATGAGAGGTCCCATACTACCCCCCTTCATGCTCCTTGCGAATCTGTTGGACCATCAGTTCCTTCTGGTTTGATACTCTGAAGACGTGGGGGAAGGAGACCCTCAAAGAATCCCCTCCACACCACCTATGATTCCAAAAGCTGATTCTCCTTCCATCTCCCACCCTGTAAGTGATGTTGCCACTGAATGCTTCCCAATTCTTCATGATACTCCTCCACATGCCACACCCGAAAGGTGTTGTGATCGCCTTGGTCCTCCAACCCCCTCCCGTTGAATCATACTTTTCTACTATGACCTCCCTCCATAGAGCATGCTCTTCTACCCCGAATCTCCACAGCCACTTTCCCATTAAAGCTCTGTTAAATACCCTAAGATCTTTCACTCCAAGTCCACCCCACTTCTTTGGGGAAGTGACTGTCTGCCAATTCACTAGATGAAACTTTCTAGTTCCATCTGCCGCATCCCACAGAAAGTTCCTTTGAAGTCGCTCCAGTTTTTCTGTGATGCTCACCGGTGCTTGCAACAGGGATAAGTAATAGGTGGGCATACTCGATAAAGTGCTTTTGATAAGCACTTCCTTACCTCCTTTTGACAAATACCGTTTCTGCCACCCTGCTAATCTTTTTTCAACCCGCTCGATCACTGGATTCCAAACCGTAGTATCCTTATATGAAGCGCCCAAAGGGAGGCCCAGGTAAGTAGTGGGAAGGGAGCCCACCTTGCATCTGAGAACACCAGACAAGGCATCAATATTAGTAACCTCACCTACCGGGAAAATCTCACACTTGCCGATGTTGATTTTGAGTCCTGATACTAACTGAAACCACTGCAGGACCTGCTTCAGGTAGGTCAACTGATCCATATCGGCATCACAGAAAACCAGTGTGTCATCCGCAAAAAGCAAATGTGAGACTCTTCGGGCACTGAGCACCCCAATCGGAGCTGAGAATCCTCTCAAGAAACCTCCGCCCGCCGCACGATCCATTATTTTGCTCAGAGCATCCATCACTAGAATGAATAACATGGGGGATAAGGAGTCACCTTGCCTGAGACCCCTGGAGCTGCCAAAGAAACCACACGGACTACCATTAACCAAGACAGAGAATCTGACTGAGGAAATGCAGAACTTTATCCATCCCCTCCATCT